AAACCATTTTAACCACCAAAAAATTTGAGAAACTTTCAGAGAGTTCTTTTCAAAAGTAGGTGGAGGCCCAGTTAATAGTTATGTTCCTGAGCACATGTGCAGTTGAGTACTGCCTCCTTTCACACAGGAAAAAAATGTTTCTGATTTCAATGACAGTGCTATCACTAATGATGTTTTAGGCTGCCCTTGCTGGATGGGGACCTAGGATACCTGATGTACACCTCTTATCATCTTCTTTTTCCTCCAAGGTCCCGGAGGAAAATAGACACCAGACAGTAGCTGGAAAAACACCAAAGCTAGATAATTCCCCTGTGTCTCAGTGTCCTCTCTTGCAAAGTGTATGTAATCATTGTTTCTACTCCACGGTGCTGTTGGAAGTTCTGCATGAGTTAATACATATGAGGCATCAAAAGCGAAGTGTCTCTGTTGCCCCCCTGTCTTTGGAAGGCATAATGATGTAATGGTTACAAACATGGCCTCTAGAGCTGGACTCTTGTATTCAAAATTTTTTTTCCTACTATGAATTAGATGGCTGACCTTGGGCAATTTATTTAAACTTTCTGGGCTTAAAAAATTAAAAAAATCCTGTCCAGCATGGTATTGTGTGGAATCAATTAATACAAATTCTTGGAATAATACCTAGCACACTGTAAGAGCTCGAGAACTATTCACTGCTGATAGCATTACTGCTACTGCTGGCACAATTCTTTGTATATCCGTGTGGCTTTGGCACCCAGATCCTGACGCAGTGTTCTGAAGAGCTAGGCTGAATCACGTAAGGTTTCCTTTCCCTGTGCCAGGAAAACCTAAGAAGCCACTATCCTAATTGGCCAGGATCCACTTGGCCTGTTTTTTTTTTCCCCAAATCCAAATCTGACTTCTCAGCTTTTACACCTGAATGTCAACCATCTGGGGACAAAAGAAACACATCAAGTAAGGCCAGCAACAAAAACGTTTGCCTCAATGCCTAGAAGGAGCTGGTCCCAGGCCCCTTACGACTTTGGCAACAGCCCTGAGACAGGCTGATGTGGAGAAGAGTCCAAAGATGGAGGGTGAGCAAGAAAGAGAAGAAGACAGGCCCACCTCTGTGTGGGACCTGGTCCACTTTAACAATCCGACTGGAGAGACATAAGTGAGAAAGATGACTACAAGCCAATCTTTGTTTTTCCAGGCTCCGTAGAGAAGGAATGACTCTCAGAGGCCACACTTCAGTCCTTTAGCGTAGCCAATGAAGTGTCTCCAGAGTTGAAGTGACCTTACTCAGCCTTGTGGAAGAGCATGTCCAAAGCTGGAGACAAAGGGTATGTTCAAACATCCTTAAAAGACCCACTGACCGCATATCCACGTGCCTACAGGCATCTCAGCAAAACCAGTTTACCTAGTGAACAAGCCTAATTCATTAAAAGCTGAAACAAGGAACGCCAGCTTGCCGAACGAGCAGTTCATGGAAAACCCACACACCAGGGATTCACATCAGCCCTCGGACTGCTGGCTGCTGCTCGAGGCCGAGCCCAGGCAGGGCTGGGAACAGGCGGGGCCCCTGTGGTTAACTTCAGAAAATGTGGGACGCCGTCCTCAGCTGTCAGGAGCGGCCTTGTAGGACATGGACCCAAAACCTCTGCGTTTTCAAACGGAAGTTGAAATCTGGGTTTTTATGTGACTTGTGCTGACGTTTGCATTTTGGCAGATACCTAAAATTAAAAACAAAAACAAAGCAAGAACTGTGCAGCCCAGTTGCACCCCATATGCTGGCGTGACGCCCCCTGTGGCCCGCAGTGTCTGCTCTACGCCCTGGGCTTTGTCCGCTCGAGGTCGTGCTTCCAGCTTGTCGAGCGTGGCCCCCGAGCTTCCCAGGATCCACTTGTTTGTCATCTTCTTGAGGCACAAATTTGTATCTTAAATGCTCCAAGGTTTTGACTTCTGTCTGTAATCTATTTCGCTGGTGAGTGTGCTTTTCTCTCTGCCCAGTTTCTAGATTTCAGTGTGGCTTTAGGGGTTTTTTAAACCAACCTTGAATTCATAGCTCCACTCATAAAACAAATAAAGCTTTTTCATTAAAAAGGGGCTGTGGGATTCAGGGAAGCGAGTCGACTTCTACACAGAAATGAAGAGAAAGTGAAAAGGTCTGCTTTAACTAGAAATGTGTAGATACTAACAGGCAAATGCAGAATAGATAAACAAGATTATACTGTATAGCACAGGGAAATGCATACAAGATCTTGTGGTAGCTCACAGTGAAAAAAAAAGTGTGACAATGAATATATGTATGTTCATGTATAACTGAAAAATTGTACTCTACACTGGAATTTGACACAACATTGTAAAATGACTATAACTCAATAAAAATGTAAAAAAATTATAAGAATTAAAAAAAAACTAGAAAATTTAACTAGGAAATAGAGCATTGGAAGATTGACGTCAAATTCAGGGAGGGTAACAATAGGATTTCTAAGTAGAAACAAACAACCTTTTTTCAGACCATGGTAGCAGGAATTAGGCAAGACTCATATAAAGAGAGCACCTAAAATTTCTGATTATACTTTGCTTCATTTTAAGAGGAAATTGATGTACTATAAGGTATTTTTGAAATACTAATTTTTAATTTAAAATATTAATTATTTTTGAGAGAAGGGGGGTAACCCTTATGAGTGTCAAGAAGCTGTGTGATGCTTTGCAAGTTGCCCTGAATTCTTTTTGTTGTTTAGGTCCCTGACAGATTTCTAGGGGCAGTGACTGCCTGGCCTTTTGTTTTGCTGTTTACTTTCTAGTATAATGTCCTGCTCAGAGTAGTCTCTTAATAAATTGAATGCTTTGAATTATTTAAATGTGTTTCCAGTTTGAAACATTTATGACTTAAATACATATTTCTGTCTATCGGCTCTAGAAATCGTGTGTATGCACTGGTTAGTGAAGGGGGGCATGCTTCAGGCATAAAGGAATATAAAACATACTCTGTTTTCAACACCCGAACAATGCAGTCCACAATTTGAAATCCCCCTCTCTCTCTCACTACATATTCTTATCTCCTTAAAATATCTAGTTGAGTATAGTATGACAGGAGGTTTCTCCTAGGATTTTGGTGTTTTCTGGGCTAGAAGTAATATCGAATGAAAACAGTCTTTGTGTTTTTCTCTTATGAATCCATATCAAAAGGTTGTGGCTGACAATGCCAGGTGCACATTTAGAATAAAGCACTGGGATCATTACAGAGGTTTTGACTACAGGAATCTGTCTGTCATTTCCTTCAAAGTGAAGGTGCATGGGGCAGGGTAAGCCTGTGATACCTAAAGCCTGATGGCTGTTACCTGGATGCGATTTCTCCCACCCCCTGGATTGCCAGCATCATTTCTCCTTGTTCCTTTGAACAGCTGTGTTATCTCCCAGCATTTTGGGATACATCAAACAGAGTTCTAGGACAAGAGCTCAAATGTTAACTGGAGTTCAGTTTTCCGGATCCTTCTGTTTGGCAGAGCGGTTTCCCTTCTAACAACAAGACTCCAGAAGAAACCAGTACCTCAGACAGCACAGAACTTGTCAAATGGAAAAGGATCTGATTCGTGGATATTTCATTCCTAATTGTCATAGATCACTCTTCCTCATTAAGTTTTTTTTTTTTTTAAAAAAGCTCTTCTTTCAAAGCATTATGCTCTCAAGTGAGAAATTCTAGGAAATTTTAAGAAAACAGAATTTGGAGGCGTTGGATAATTTCTAGCTTTTTAGAAGCAACTAATACTTAATGCAGGAGGTGACTTGTAAGGTCTGGTGTACATAATTATTCGAAGAAACATTTATCTTAGGACTGGTCAACAAAAGATGCCATGTGTACAGAAATTGCTAAATTTTCTAAACTAGATTTCTATCCAAAATGGGGAAAGTTTCCCCAAGTAGTACCAATTCTTTTACACATTATTTCATGTTCTTTTTTCTGGGCTCTGGGCTTTTTGTCTGTTTGTTTTTAAGATGCTTATTTCTATATTGTCTCTGAAGTAATGTATTTACTACTCTGTCATTGGCTAGTTATTCATTCATTCAACAAATATTTCTAAAGCATCAGTTATATGCAAGGTGTGCTGAAAAGAATTTATGTAAATAGATCAAAAAAGAATAAGGGAAAATAAACCCATATCTACATAAATGTTCATTTTTAAATGGTCAAGTATTATGCAAAAATGTACTCTTCTGAGATTATTTTGGCAAGTTAACTATGATTTATTGGCAAAGAACTTTGTTCTTGGTGAAGTAGCTTAAATATCATTTGCTTTAGACCATGTAATACTTTATATTTTAAAGTCAATTCTGCTGTCTATAACTAGAACACAAATTCCTTGTAGACAAAAGCTATCTTAAAATTCTCATTAAATTTTATTTTTCTACCTAGCACAGCTTTTTCTTTGTAAGAAATCTTATAAAAGCATTTTTGATTTAAGATCTTTGAAATGTAATGGTGATACAGAAGCTCAGGAAAAAACTTTCAGTGTTTTAACTTCTTATCATTATTTGATTTTACAACTCTGTCATCTCTTAGAAGACTTCATAATCTGCTTTCTTCTCAATCTCAGTAAGTCATTATTAATTTACAAAACTAGTGACTTGAAACATTCTAATTTTAGTCTTTAAAAGGAATTTTATGATATAGGTTCGGATAATTGGATTTTCCCCAGGATACAATATTAAATATAAAAATGTTAGTTCTGCTTAATTAGAAAAGTAGAATTTTAGTGACTTTGAATATTGACTTTTAAATATTTTCAGAATCATTGTTACTTGTGTTTTAGGATTTAAATAATTATATTCATTAATCTGAAGAAGTAAATGGTGCCTTTAAAAATCTGATAAAAAAATTGTTTTTTTTTTAATACTCTTTTGCTATTAGGTGATTCAGGCTCTTGGGATCTGCTCATTTGCCTGTCTTCCAGGAAAGCTGGTGGAAAACCGTGCATATCCAAGGAAGACATGTGCCATTTAGGTCTACATCAAAAGGTAAACATTCTTTTTCAAAATGTGCACAGATTTTTTCAGACCTATGGATGTTAATACCAATATTTCCTGGTCCATAATGTTAAAAAAAAAGTCTTAAAAAACTGGAGCCATTGGATGGAGAAAGTTTCAATGGCCATGCCTTTTACACTTTACCATAAAGTGTTCACCATTGTTTTGTTTGTTATGATCCCCTTCAACTTCAGCTGCTACCAATAAGGATCCAGTTTCCCCTAGTAGGGCCCCAAACTTCCTGTAGTTGTATGTAGCCTGTGGAGTGTTGCTTACCCTGGCCACGTGTTCACCCAAAGTAGTACAGGTTTTATTCTCTAGACCCTCGTTTTGACTTTTTCAAATTTAAATTGATATTCTGAATTATAACAAAATGTATGCAACTTTTCATTCACTTTTAAAATTGGCACCCAACATTTACTATTTTGTGTAGACTTTTACAAATGTGTTTTAGAAAAATTAACTAAAAATTATCAAATGTCTGCATTGTGCTAGCCATTGTGCCTGAAAATTTGTGTATGCTCTATTTTTGATAACTTTCAAAAATCTGTGAGAAAAATGTCAAAACCAATAGCTGTTTTTCAGTAGTAAAATTGTACCATAGTGGCCACCCCGATCATTTGATATTTCTGCAGTTGACATGTGTGATCCTCCTTCCTTCTTCTCTTGGGCTGAGCACATTCTTGTGGTTCTTCTTGTACATCTTTGGCCATCCTTTCTGTGTTCTTCAGAGCTGAGCCACCTTTCTTCTGTCAGTTCTTTAAA